TGAAGCTGATTTTAGTTGTTTAGTTTTGCTTAACTTCAAATTCTACTAATAAATAATAGAAAATGTGGAAACATCTGTAAATTATTTAAACTTCAGTTGACCTTTTCATTGATCTCTTTTGGGAAATTAATAGTGCCAGAGCATTTTTGAAGGATTCTGAGGAGGAAAACTTTTGCTCTGATGGATCACTGAATAAATGGTTTGCAATTCTGCAACTCTCTTATCCTCAGCCACTGATGAGATGGCCTCTATACCTTCCCCTCCCTGGCTTTCCCTTCAGAGTCATTCTTGTTCATAAATGTCCCACAGCAACCGAAAGAGAGAGAAGACAATGAGAGCTAGAATGCTGATGGAAGTCTGAGAGAAACTTATCAACTCATACAGAATTTAAAATCTCATATGTAACACTTGTGTGGGAGGACAAGTTAGATGTTCTTTGTCTTGAGGAAGCATTTTGGAAAGTCTGAATCAGTTTCACTTTGAGGTGTAGACAAGTGGACACAGACAAGATTCACAAAACCGAATGATGATTTAAGTAGCTGAAATGAAAATGTTTTGTGTTGAAACTGTATTGTGAGTCGAGCCAAACTTGGTGCATCTGTGACATGAGGAAGCAAATGCTGCATCATCTCTGCTCAAATTCTAAGTACAGGCAGTCCCCGGGTTACGTACAAGATAGGGACTGTAGGTTTGTTCTTAAGTTGAATCTGTATGTAAGTCGGAACTGGCGTCAGCCGCTGCTGAAACTGATCAGTTTCAATGGCGGCTGAATCTGGATGCCAGTTCTGACTTACATACAGATTCAACTTAAGAACAAATGCTGCATCATCTCTGCTCAAATTCTAAGTACAGGCAGTCCCCGGGTTACGTACAAGATAGGGACTGTAGGTTTGTTCTTAAGTTGAATCTGTATGTAAGTCGGAACTGGCGTCAGCCGCTGCTGAAACTGATCAGTTTCAATGGCGGCTGAATCTGGATGCCAGTTCTGACTTACATACAGATTCAACTTAAGAAACCCAGGCGTCCCCAAGTCAGCTGCTGCTGAAACTGATCAGAGGCTGATTCCAGGAAGCCTGGGGCAGAGCAACTCTGCCTCGGGC